TACTGCTACTGCTACTGCTGCTAATCACGACAACAACAGCATCTCTGGTGACAGGGTCACTGTATTCCGCCTTCTGGTGCCGCACTTTAGTTGCAAGCTGCGCCAAGGACGAGGAGATGCTGAATCCGTACCACTTCGTGCCACTGGGACACCAAAGGTTAGGGTAGTCATGTCCTAAACCCTAAACCCTAAACCCTAAACCCTATACCCTAAACCCTAAACCCTAAACCCTATACCGGTGTATCTTTGAGGAACCCTATAGATGCTTAAACCATCTTGACCCCAAACCTTTTAACACAATCAGAACCTGAAGCCCCCAAGCCCCTGAAACTAAGAAAGGCCCTAAAGGCTCGGACCCCTCAAACCTCGAAACCCCCAAAGCCTTAAACAACTAAACCATCAAACCCAAAGACCCTAAACCCTAAACCCTAAACCCTAAACCCTAAACCCGAAACCCTAAACCCTAAACCCTAAACCCTAAACCCTAAACCCCAAAACATGAAACAACTAAACCATCAAACCCTAAGTCCTAACCGGGATACCAACCTCGACCATGGTGCCCACCAACTTGACTTTCAGATATTCCGAAAAATTAGGGGGTTTAGGGTTTAGGGTTTAGATTAAAGGGTTTAGGGTTTAGGGTTTAGGGTACCTTATTTTGGGGTCCTTATAATAAGGATCCTATTAATTAGAGTACTATCTTAGCGTCCCCTGATTTCGGAAACCCCCAACCTGCGGCTCAGGGATAGGCGTGCACTACATAGGCCTGAGAGAATTGTATCCGCTTCGGCCTCCTTATCACTTTTACTATCCTTTAAAATCTTACATAGTACAGGTATAGAATACCCCCCAACCCTATCCAATTCTGAAGGCTCGTATAGTGGGTGAAGCAGGGCTCAGATTTCATGTGTGACCATGTTTGTTGCGGTTATGAAGACCATGTGAGGCCATGTGTATTAGGTTTAGGGTTTAGGGTTTAGGGTCTGTATGCTTCTTGCGGCTGCCTGGCTGTTTTAGCAGGTGCATCAGTGCTCCAGGTAATATAGGGGCCTTAATAAT